AGACCCCCACATCTCCCAGGAGCCCTCTGCAGAACAGTACCCATGGCAACCTTCACCACAGCAGTGACACACAGCCTCACTCCCTCCAAGCCAACACAGTCCTGTCAAGCGGGGAGACATGTAGCCAGACTTGTCTGGCTACTGAGCCACATGGGCTAGATCATCATTTCCTCCAAGTGCGACCACTGGCCTTTCTACAATTAAGGATCCGAGGATCCTACAGGGCAGGACCCACTGCCTATACTAGCACTCTGTTATTGCAGAGTTGGGTGAAGGCTAGAGAATGCAGGCATAGGCAAGGAAGATACCTGACTTTAGAGGGCTCCACACCTGGGACCTCAGAAACACGAACCATAGCCCCTGGCCAGATGCAGTCATCAGCCTGCTATGGCGGTTAGAGCAGGTATGAGGTAAAGCACCTGCCTGGAATGCTCCAGTGAGGAGCTGGGGGTGTGGCTCACCATAGAGTACTTCTCTGGCATACCCAATACCCTAGGTTCAATCCCAGTACTATACAAATAAAATAAAAATAAAAACTGGCTAGTTGTGATGATACACACCTTTAATCCCAGCACTCAGGAGGCAGAGGCAGGAGATTTCTGTGAATTCGAGGCCAGCCTGGTCTACAGAGCCAGTGCCAGGACAACCAGGGCTACAAAGAGAAACACTGTCTCGAAAATCAATCAATCAATCAATCAATCAATCAATCAATCAATCCTTAGCCCAAGATAGTTTATAAATGGTCAATGAACGTGAAGATCTTTTTCCCTTCTTTGGAATTTTCTGGTTTGGGGTTGCTTTTTGCTTATATGATACATGTGCATGTGTGTGCATGAGCATGTGCACACATATATTCTTACAGCTTGGTTCTTACTTGCTTTTATTTCTAACATTTGTTACTATTTTTCCAGAATTTCATGAGTACTATACTTACATCATTCCCACCAAAAATATTCCTGACTCCAGTTCCTCCCCACCCCCACTCAACTTAATGACCTTTTCTTTATTGCTGTCCCACATATACACACGGATACACACATTTGTGTGTATAAATACATCCTGCTGAGTCAGTCCATTTAGTGTTGCTCATTTGCACATGTGTTTAGAGTCGACCACTTGGACTATAACCCTAACTGGATATCAGGGGGCTCACCCATGGAGACTCTTTGGCGCCCTGAGACAGGGTCTCATATAACCCAGGGTGGCTTCCGACTTGCTATGTAGCCAAGGATAGCCTTGATCTTCTGATCCTCCGGCCTCTACCTCCTGGGTGCTGCAGGATCACAGGCTTGCACCACCCTTGGCTAATGCCATGATGGGGGTAGAACCCATACTTATACCCAAGCCAAACATGTGCTTTAACTAGAGCTGTGCTTCTCAACTGAACATTGCTAACCCCGTGCACAACCAGCCAAGCTGGCTCATGCCTGTAATGCCCATTGCATGTTCCCAAGACCCAAGCTGGAAATGGGTCAAAGGTCCAAACCTGGTGCATGGGTAAACAAATGTGTGGAACCATGCAGAGCTGGCGCCTGAGGCCACTGAGGACAAAACAATTAGAAAGGACAGTGCAGAGCAGGGACTGACAGCCAGGGAGCAGAGCAGGGAAACAAGGCCTCCCACAGCAGACGGCCCAGAGGAACCCACACAGTCTGGTGTGGAGAGTGACCGATGAGTCAGACTCTACGGCTCAGTCCAAAGGCTAGCAATGAGATTGGGCTTCTCACCACTGTCTTAACCACTCCCTTAAGACAAATGATGAGACTCCCACACACTGTTAGGAAGACTAGTGCCACTCATCCACAGGTGAGTGTTCAGCCACAAAACCCAGGCTGACCAGTCACTGTCTTACCATGGCCATAAGGGATTTGGGCAGTTTCCAGGCCATAAAGTTCCCAATTCCTTCTGGATGGCTTCCTAAGAAACCACATGTTGCATGCCCACATGACACATGCGACTTTCTAAAGGGCCACAGTCCAGCAACAGAGCCAGCAGCTCTGATGACTTCCATGCAGCCTGAGCCCTACTATGGATGAGAACAGCACCCCTGGGGACCTGGATGCCACTGGCTTGGCCAGCTGTACACATATCCTTTGTGGTGTGTGTATACCTGAGTTTCACCTCCATCACTTATAATAAAGTCTTGTTACCTGCAGCTGCCCTGCCATGTCTGAGGCTTTGCCTGACTTCTAAGTCTTTAATTGGCAGAGGAAACAAACTCAGTCAAGACTGCCCAGACAGTAAACACGCATGCCTGCAAAGCAAGGACTTTACCCTTGCCCTAGTTGCAGCATAGTCTTAGAAGGAAGGAAAGAAAGCAAGAAAGAAGCAAAGAGAGAAAGAAAGAAAGAAAGAAAGAAAGGAAGGAAGGAAGGAAGGAAGGAAGGAAGGAAGGAAGAAGGGCATACTTTGTTCCTTTCTCTGGTGACTGGTCACTATGCATCTAGCCTAACAGAATGTGGGACAGTCTGGTCTCCACATCTGAGTTACTGCCACCAGCCTTCAACAGCGTTCACAGGGAGGGAAGGTGGCATCTTCAAAAACACAGCCACCTACTGGCTTGTCCCAACTCAAATGGGTGCCAGGCAAGTTAGTATGGCCCAGCGTGGGGTTCAGCCATCCCTTCCCGAGTGCAAGTGCTACCACAGCCTCCTCCACAGTTGCTCTAAGAAGTCTGTTGGGAAGGACAAAGGCAGAGATTGGGGCTTAGGCTCCAGGAAGGGCTTCTTCCTACAGCAGACAAGGACAAGACACCTCTGGTCCAGATCATCGTTAAGCGTAGGGAATTGCTGTGAACTGCAGCTCTCACCAAGGCCCACAAATGTGCTGCCTGTGGGAATTTAGGAAGAGGGAGGCAGCAGGATCACAGCCTTTCCGACCAGCAGTCAGGAAATAGGAACCAGTTCCAAGATGCCCAGTAGGGTGTTTTGAACTCTCTCCCTGTGCAGAGGCATCACAAACCACACACATCTCCAAGGCCTAAGGGTCAGGGCAGGTCACAAGCAGAGGCTGGGGCAAGGTGCCCACACACTCCAGCACCCGGACCCAGTGGGCCATGGCCCAAGCAGGCAGCAGCTCCTCAGGGCCCAGAGCCCCAAGTGGAACTTGAGCTCCATGGAAACCGCTCCCCAAGGGGCAATGAAGTTCCCAGCACTTGGGGACACTTGGGCGGTCCTGGCTCAGGCACAGAGCACTGATCTGTGGGAAGTGGCTGTACAGGCTCTGGGAGCTCCCCACATGGACACTTCTGGGAGGAGAATGGATTGGCCCAAGTAGGGACAGGGGCTTCTTCCTTCCCTGGTGCCGAGTCCAGAGGTTCATCTGGAGCCACAAGGGGACAGGAGTGGACCAGCATAGTACTTTTCCATGAGTTCCTGGGTGATAGGGCCGCTGCGCTGCGATCTTCTTGAATACTTAGCTTCAGCTCTCCTTAGTTTTCCTCTAAAAACTATGCCTGACACATCCTTCTAACAATTTCCCATGAGAGCGGAAGGAAGAAATGTTTCTATCCACAGAGACCAACATTCTTAGGCAGAGAGGGGCCTCATTCTGTATGCAAGACTGGCTTCCAGAAACATGAGGAGGAGACCTAAGGACCTAAGTCCCCAAGCAATAGTCCTAAGTCACAGTGGCCATCATGCCTGCCAACTGAGGACCGCACCCTAGACCCCCACTTCCTTTCAGCAGGAGAGTGGCTGACGACCCCTGTTGGCCAGTCCCCTGCTGGCCACGCCACCAGAACATCACCACCTCAGAGGCAGACCAGTGCATCCGGGCCTCCTCCTAAGACCCATGGAACAGCCCAGGGCTCCTGCCTCCTAACACCTGCAACCAGGAAAGCAAACACAGCCTGTGGCTCTCCTGGAAACTCCCAGCTCTGAATCAGACCAAGATGTAGCATAACACAGACCCGAAGAAAACATACTCAGATTGCTTCCTGCTTTCTTCTCAAAGAGAAAGAGAGAGAAATGAAGCACAATGCTGAGGCAATCCCTCTCCAACATGAGGTTGGTTACCTGCAAGTGTGTGGACAGCGTGAGGAGAGAAGGCTAGGAGCCTAACGTGGGGCTGTGCTGTTGGGCCTCTGCTTAGCATGGGAAAGGCCCTGGGTTCCACACCCAGCATGGTGTAAAAGAAACCATCTTGCCAGGGTTAATATCACACACCTATAATCCCAGCACTCAGGAGGCAGAGGCAATGGGATTGCAAATTTAAGGACTGCCTGAGTGCTAAATCCCGCAAAGCCCAGCCATATTATCATACGTGCATCTGATCAGGTTTATTTCATGTTCACTGACAAACCTGAAATAGTAGCATCTGATGATGTCTGGAGGGCAGTAGCAACTAATTTTAAATTGAATTACTATCAATGAAAGAATTTAATAGCCAGAACTTTGCAGGTAACAAAAAGATTTGAAATGTTAAAATTTAAATGTGTCTGTGGCCACCAATATTGCCCACCAGGTAAAGGAGCTTACTGCCAAGTCTGATGACCTGAGTTCAATCCCATATTTGTGGAAGGGAAGAACTGATTTCCACGAATTGTCCTCTGACCTTAACACATGCACCACGAAGGTGCACACATGAATACATAAATAAATGCAAAAATATTTCAATTCAATATATCTGCATACATTCAGCAGATACATGTTATAGGGTGAAAAACAAACCCACACAACATTTAACATTGTTCATACCCTATCTCAGTGAGATTAAAATCAGGGTTTCCCACATGCCAGGCAAGCCCTCTACCACTGAGCCATGGCCCGGCCCCTAGACTTGAGTTTTTAGACGTTAAGTACCTGGACCACAACCAACACACACTTCAAGACGATCCCTGGGAGTACAGCCAGGAGGCCCCGCTCTCCCAGGCCCTTTACCTGGCCAGGCTGGTCCATCACAGTATACAGTAAACATGGGTACCCACACATCAGCCAAACTTCTGTCTCGTAACTGCTCCAGTAAGCAACAAACATGCCTGCTCTCGCAGAGTCACTTACCTTGGGGCTGGCCCCCTCCTTCCCTGGCCTGGCTTCAGATGCCCGCAGCGTCTCTTCTGCTGGTGTTAGCTTTTGCTTTTTACTCTTCTCTGTCCCTCCTAGACCTTTTCCCTTATGTTTTACCATCCTGGAAGAGACGGTGCAGGTGGGTCAATGGTAGGAAGGAAGAGGCCTTGTGCCATGAAGTGTCATGCTGTTAAACAGTTGGGAAGACAGTTGACCAGTCACAACACAAAAGAGGTTTAAATAAAACGTGCTAACCAGGGCCATGACTGCTGATTAAGTGCTTCCTGGACAGCCATGAGGACTTAAGTGTGAGCCCCAGAATCCATGAGGAAAAAAAAGTCAGGTGTAGCACAGCACACCTGCAAAGCCAGTGCTGGGGAGGTGGAGACAGGAGGATCCCTCTGGCTTGCTGGCTAGCCAGCCTAGTGGAATTGGTGAGCTCCAGGTTCAGTGAGAGACTACGTCTCAAAAAATAAGATGGAGAGTGATATAGATACCTGATGGTCCTCTCGCCTGCAAATCCTCATGCTTGAGTGTGTATACACACATGAATACACAACATGTGTGCACACATGTGCATACATGCATGAACACACACACACACACACACACACACACACACACATACAAAATAAGAAACACATAAAAGTTAAAAGGTCAAAGTACATGCTTGCTCTTCCAGAGGACCTGGGTTCAAGTCCCAGCATTCACATGCAGCTCACAACTGTCACTCCAAGATCTGACACTCTCACACCTAAATATATGCAGGCATAATACCAATAAACATAAAATAAAAATAAATTATAAAAAAAATGAGTGATAGCAAGGCATAATTGGGAGGCAGAGACAGGGGGCTCTCCAGGAGTTCCAGGTTAGCCTGGTCTTCATAGGGAGTTCAGAACAGCTACTAGTTAGACCCCATCTCAAAAAGAGAGAGAGCGAGATACGAAGAAGAGGAGGAGGAGGAGGAGGAAGCGGAGGAGGAGGAGGAGGAGGAGGAGGAGGAGGAGAAAAGAAAGATTAAGAGCATCACCATTTTTAATGTCACCAGGTTCCAAAGGTAGAGCTCTGCCTATTGCTTAATCAGAACATATTAAAGGACAGTTCCATTCTCTCCAAATCTAGGCTACGACACACCCCTACACAAGCTGTGACCAGTATTATGCCCCATTGATGGGTGGAGAGGCTGAAAGACCCCGAGGGGCCTGAGGTGTCCTTCAAGCTGGTGCAGATCCCCAAGCCATTCCAAAGGACTGAATGAAGCTACATTTGAAACACTGAGACAAATCTAATCATGAAGTCTGTCTCCTCCCACAGCAGGAAGAAAAAAAAAATGAATATAAAACCAACTAGCAAGACAGGGATGGTGGCACTTGTCTGTGATTGCAGCTGGGAAGCTGAGGCAGGAGGAAAGTCACAAGTGTCAGACCAGCCTACACCACACAGAAAGAGTCTGCCTCTCTGGACACAGTGGCAGGCATCTGTAATCCCAGCACTCAGGAAGCAGAAATATGAAGAGCATAAGACACTGAAGGTTGGCCTAGAACACACAAGTGAGAACAACAACCAAAAAAAGAATAATTAAGGCTGGAGACTAACTCAGCAGTTAATACAAAAGGTTCCAGATTCAATTCAGAGGGTAAGCATAGTGGAAAAAACAGAGAGCTCTAGAAGGGTGAACACCCCCAGAGATCAAATCTGCAGGCATGTGCTGTGAACCTGCAGCCCACGTGGGCTGGCATCAGGGCATTCTTGTCCCAACTGGGGCTGTCACTGACTATGGCACATGGAAAGAATATTACTATTCTAGAATCAGAAAACTCCAAGCTCTATTTTTTTTAATTAAGCCTTCTCATAAAAAAAATATTTGAAGCCAGAGGCTATAATTTTCAATTAGCAATATAATAAGAAATCATAAAAGAAGGAGAGACTGTTGACACAGGGACACTGAAAATAGGGGTGGTGACGCCAGCCAATTACCTCATTAGAGAAGTAAGAAAACTTCAGCAAATATTTACACACCGCTTAGGAGAGAAGCAAGGTCTGTGGTTACCCGGGAAGCTAGCATTAAAAAATTAAGCACAGTCGGGCGTTGGTGGCGCACGCCTTTAATACCCATACTCAGGAGGCAGAGGCAGGCGGATCTCTGTGAGTTCGAGGCCAGCCTGGTCTCCAGAGCAAGTGCCAGGAGGCTCCAAAAGCTCCAAAGCTACACAGAGAAACCCTGTCTCGAAGAAAAAAAAAAAAAAAAAGTTAAGCACAAAGTCCATTTGTGCAAAAGAAGAAAAAGATGGTTCTACATCACAAGGTTTTAAGAGAGCAACTCTCAACTGAGGCAATGAGTGTCTGTTTTAGAAAACATCTGCTTTTAAGCCGGGCGTTAGTGACACATGCCTTTAGTCCCAGTGCTCGGGAGGCAGAGGCAGGGCAGATCTTAGTGAGTTTGAGGCCAGCCTGGTCTACAGAGCAAGCAAGTGCCGGGACTGTTAAACACAGAGAAACCCTGTCTTGAAAACCAAGAAAGAGCCAGGCAGTAGTGGCGCACACCTTTAGTCCCAGCACTTGGGAGGCAGAGGCAGGTGGATCTCTGTGAGTTCGAGACCAGCCTGATCTTCAGAGCCAGTGCCAGGATAAGCTCCAAAGCCACAGAGAAACCCTGTCTCGAAAAATCAAAAAAAAAAAAAAAAAAAAAAAAAAAAAAAAAAAAAAAAAAAAAAAAAAGAAAAGAAAGGAATGAAGGGAGAGACAGAGAGAGAGAGAGAGAGACGTATGTTTTTGTTTGGGGTCAAGTGACTTTCAACAAGGGTGCCAAAACAACTCAAAGAGCAATCTACTCAGCAAGAGCTGGAGAGGACAGCTGGAGAGCCAAGGGGAAAGGTGTGTAAGAACCTCACACCACACAGAGCTAACTCAGGATAGACCAAACCCCACTTGTAAAAGAGCCTAAGTCCTTCCTTCCTTTCTTCCTTCCTTCCTCCCTCCCTTTCTTTTTTTCTTTTTTTAGACAGGGTCTCACAAGGTAGATCAGGCTGACCCTGAACTCACAGAGATCCGACTGCTTCTGCTTCCTGAGAGCTGGAATTAAAGGTATGCACAACTTTAATTGGCCAGGCCTAAGATTGTTAGAATTTCCAGGGATGAACCCTTATTGCCCTGGAAAACACTGAGGTCTCCCTGATAAAATACCAGTAACTAAGTAGCCAAAGGAAAAATAAGCTGGACCACATCATACCTACAAAGTTCTGTCCTTGGAGAGAAGCTTTGTGGTAAAGAGCTCTTACCGAAAACCTAAGTTCAGTTCCCAGCACTGATAACAGGCAGCTCACAATTGCCTGTAACTCTAGATCCAGACCTAATACCTCTGGACACACACACAATTAAAAATAGAATATAAAGGGGCTGGAGAGATGGCTTGGCAGCTAAGAGCATTTACTACTCTTGCAGAAGATCTGGGTTCAGTTTCCAATACCCACATGGTGGCTCACAACTGCCTGGAACTCCAGTTCCAGTTCCAGGAGATCTGATGCCTCTTCTGACCTCTATGGGATCCTACACACACGGTACACAGACATCCCACTCAGGTACATTCACACACACACACACACACACACACACACACACACACACACACACACACTAAATAAGCAATTTAAAAAAAAAAAAATTGACCAGGCAGTGGTGGCACACACCTTTAATCCCAGCACTTGGAAGGCAGAGACATGTGGATCTCTGTGCGTTCGAGTCCAGCCTGGTCTACAGAAGTGAATTCCAAGATAGCTAGAGCTACACTGAGAAACCTTTTCCCAAAAAACAAAATAAAGCTGGGCGTTGGTGAAGCACGCCTTTAATCCCAGCACTCGGGAGGCAGAGGCAGGCAGATCCCTGCGAGTTCGAGACCAGCCTGGTCTCCAGAGCGAGAGCCAGGATAGGCTCCAAAGCTACACAGAGAAACCCTGTCTCGAAAAAACAAAAATAAATAAGTAAATAAATAAATAAATAAATAAAACAAATTTTAAAAGCTTCTAATGAGTGAACAGTGCTAGCAAAAAAGTAAAGACAACTGAAAGGGTAGAGGGCATGTATACCAACCACATGCCTAACAAGAAAGCTGAGCACAGAGCCTAAGAACTCTTGAAACCTCACAGTAAAGAAATTGGGGGATGGGCAGCAATATGGCTCATCAGGTAGAGGCACTTGCCACTGAGGCTGACAACCTGAGCTCCATCCCAGCCTAGCCTAACTGGTGAGTTTCAGGCCAGTGAGAGACCCTGTCATGAAAATACAAGGTGGAGGGCTTCTGGGGACCACCATCTAAGGTTGACCTCTGGCACTGGCACACACATGCACCCGCGCGCACACACACACACACACACACACACACAGGTTTTAGAATGAGCAAAGGTCTTGAACAGACACTACAGAACATGAAAAGATGCCAAACTTCATTAGTCATTTAGGAAATGAAAACCAGAGGCACTGCTTAATGCAGCAGCTACTGTAAGAAGACGGGGGCAGGAAAAGACTCAGTGGGTAAAAGCACTCTCCACATAAGCTTGACCACCAGAGTTGGATACCTAGGACCTACATAAAATTCTGGAATCAGTGGCATGCATCTGTCATCTCACCTTTCCTACGGTGAGATGGGAGATGGAGACAGGAGAATAAGCCTGGGGTACATAGGACTATACACTGGGCGGTAGCAACCAGAAAGACTATGCCTCAACAAGGTCACAGAAGGGAATAGACTCCTCAAAGTTGCCTCCATGGTACCCAAGACCACTAATATGTGATCTCCAGTCTAGAACTTGGGATCATAAATCTGGGATTCCTATTCTGTCCTCTGTTATTGTCCCAAAGCCTTGAGTGACGCCAATACATAAAGGCAACCAAATAATCTTTTTGCATTTTTGAAAGAGTCTCATTTGGTAGACAAAGTTGGACTGGAGCTGGCAGCAATTCTCCTGTTTCAGCCTCCGGGATGCTGAGATCACAGCCGTATACCACCACACCCAACTTGTAAAGATGGATGAATGAAAGGACTGCTGGATGCATGGATAAATGGGTGGGTGGGTGAGTGGATGAAGGATGCGGATGAGGGGGTGGGAGGGTGGATCAGTGGGTAGAGAGGTGGATGGATGGGTAGATGGATAAGTAGGTGGAGGGGTTGGCGAATGGATGAGTAAATGGATGTATCCACAGGGGTAAATGAGTAGGTGGATGACTGGACGGATCTATGGGGATTCACGTGGAGGGCCAGGCAGATACGCACGGCCGGGCCCAGGACACCATCTCCCCAAAGGCTGGGATCCCCCCGGTACCCGCCGATCACGCACCTGCAGCGCCCACTCTCGCACGCCTGGGCCACGAACCACCACCACCACCAGCTCAGCAGGTTCCGCGCCGCCCGCCCTCAGAATAGTGGCGCTCTCCATTGGATAGAACCCGCGTCCGTCTTCCAGCCAGCCAATGGCCGCCGCACGGGAGGGATAGGGCCCGTCGTAGGATACTGGCGTCATCTTTCGGAGCCGAGGGAGCAGACAGTTGCTCGGGCAACTCCTGGTGGCGTGGACACGTGCTGCGGGATTCAGGCCGCTAATGCTGGGCGAGGCAGGTGGAAAGCAGCTCAGAAAATTCCAACATGGTAAAGTTTGTAAATGCGGGGGCAACCGGGCTTGGAAGTGCACGCCTGACGTTCCAGCCTTAGCAAGGGTGAAGCAGGAGGATTAGGAGTTCAAGGCCATCTTCGTCTCATAGGGAGTTTGAATCCAGATTAAATTATGAGTCCCTGTTGTCCCGAAGCATGCCCATAATCCCAGCACTGAAGAGACAAAGGCAGGAGGATCAGAAAATTAGGGTCATCCTGGGCCGTGTAATGACTTATGGACCAATCTAGGATACATGCTATCCTGTCTCCTAAAACCAAAATAGCGCCAGTGAAATGGTTCAGAGTTACGGTGAAAGCGCTTGTTGTAAAGCTTGTTAACCTTAGTTTGATGCACAGGACCCATATGGCAGAAGGAAAAGCAACTCCCACCAGTTGTCTTCTGACCTCCAAACACACACACACACACACACACACACACACACACACACACGAACGAAGTAATAAGTACTTTTTAAAGATCAAAGTTTGGGGAAAGATAAGCTGAAAACAGGGTCCTTAGAATAGTGGTGTGTGCCATTTTAAAACAACAGTTTTAAACAGTTGTTTTAAACAATTGTTTTAAACAGTTTTAAAACAATCACACACACATGCACACAAATGCACACGAGCACGCAATGAAGATGTACTCAGTGCCAGGGAGAGCTGGTCATGGTGTCACTGGCCTTTAATCTCAGCATTCAGGAGACAGAGGAAAGAAGATCTCTATTACTATGAGGCCAGCCTGGCTTACATAGTGAGTTCCAGGCCATCCAAGGCTACATAGTCAGACTCTGTCTCAAAAGAAGAAGGGGTGGTGGTGATATAATCAAAGCTAAAGCTCTTGTCAATCCTCTGGATTCCCTCAGCACCACAAATAATAACAGTGGTCGTTTTTACACTTTATCTGGTCCTGGCATTATAGGAATACATGTCTCAGAAAATCAAAAAAACAAGAAAAGGGAGATGGGACTAGAGACACAGTTCAGTTGGTAAAGTGTTCACTGAGTTTCATCTCCAGAACCCACATTTAGAGAAAAAAGAAAAGAAAATAAAAAAGGAAAGGAAGAAATGAAAGAAAGAAAGAAAGAAAGAAAGAAAGAGAAAGAAAGTCACAGCACTGGGGAGGAGGAGGATCCTGGAGGCTCCATGTCCAGAAGGGAAGGAAGAGAGGAAGGTGAGGGGCAAGATGGGTTCTATTCTGTGGAAACACAATGGTGACTTAGCAGCAAAGTATGATGAGGACAATGAACAGAAGGGGAAATCAAGAAGAAATCCTGCACACTCCATCTGCTCTTTAACCCATTTTCCCTACTCTAGAAGAGACGGCCAGGGCCAGGAGAGATGGTTTAGGGGTTAACAGTGAAAGACCCCCAGACCCCTAAGGGGCACAGGGTCCCGAGAAGCCCCCGAGACTCAGAAACCAGACCAAGAGCTGTAAAAACAAGAGGGTTTATTGAACGAATGCGCATTTGGGTGTCAGCAATATCGGGGAAGCTGCACACCCCAGCATGGGGTGCAAGCTCCTTATATAGGAAAAAACTGCAGATCAGCATACAGGCAAGGGGCACAAAGTGATTGATTACAAAGTATGATCTCATGTTAGAGTGATCACCCAGGTGTGACCTGCTTTTCTACAAAGGAAAAAAACCACAGAATGTACCCTAGAAAGTCCTCGATTGTCTGTTGGCCAGGTGTGACCCAAAAAGGATTGTTTGTCTGCCCTCGGGTTGGGCCAATTTCCTTGTCCTGGGCCAAGGTCTGTGGGAAACTTTTTCTCTCAGCAAACTAAAATCTTTCAACAGCACTGGTTGCTCTTCCAAAGGATCTGGGTTCAAGTCCCACCACTCACATGGCAGTTCATGACTCCAATCCCAAGGGATCTGACACCCTCATACAGAGATACATGCAGGCAAAACCCCAATGTTCATTAAGCAAATAAATCTTAAAAAAAAAAAAAAAAAAGCTGAGAACTTGAAAGAGATACTGACAGATTTGAGAGACCAGATTCTAACACTGGATCTTTGAGATGGAGCCCAGAGAGGCTACCATACAGGAGACAACCTGAACCAGAAGTCGAGCTGCCCTTGCAGGGGCTGTGTGAAATACACCTAGGATTCGTGTCAGTTTCTGAAACTGCATTGGAGGATTTATTGCTGATACTGCTGGCTGACAGAGAGGAGACAGTTGATTCTTTGTGAGGCAGAATTCAATGAGGGGAAATTACCAAGATGTGAGAAAATAAAGGAGGTCCCTTCCCTCCACCCACCCTCAGCATGGTTGATGCTTCTCACCAGCTGAGAAGCAAGAACTCCACCACAGCTGGCATTTGTTGTGAAGACAGCCAACACAGAGATAATACCCTTTCTATATAAAGATATGTTATCTTAGAATAGCCTGGAACCAGGCATGGGGCTGCAGTGTGTATGACCATGAGTGGGACCTCATTCTCCTAGATATTTTCTGGGAATCTCAGACAAGACAGTTAACTTCCTTTACAGTGAAGGTGCCCCAAAATCCTGCATCCCTCAAAGCTGGAGTTTTTTCTACCTTGCCAATTGTAATCCTGCCGGAAGCCACTCAGGACCCACTCTATGGATTTCCTTTAGGTTCCTTAGCAATCCTTAGAGCAGCAGTTCTCAACCTGTGAGTCTCACAAGGGTCGCCTAGGACCCTCAGAAAACACACTTATTAGTCGGGCAGTGGTGGCACACGCCTTTAATTCCAGCACCAGGAAGGCAGAGGCAGGCGGATCTCTGAGAGTTCAAGGCCAGCCTAGTCTACAAAGCGAGTTCCAGGACAGGCTCCAAAGCTACACAAAGAAACCCTGTCTCAAGCTAAAAAAAGAAAAAAAGAAAAGAAAAAGAAAAGAAAACACAGATATTTACACTATGACTCATAACAGTAGCAAAATTACAGTTATGAAGTAGCAACGAAAATAATTTTATGGTCAGGATCACCACAGCATGAGGAACTATAATATTAAATGGTCTGAGAATTAGGAAGGTTGAGAGCCACTGTTTAGAGGATAATAGCTTCAAACCCCACCAGAATGATATATATGACTCATAAAGACAAAGGAGAGGGGGCTGGAGAGATGGCTCAGAGGTTAAGAGCACTGACTGCTCTTCCAGAGGTCTGAGTTCAATTCCCAGCAACCACATGGTGGCTCACAACCATCTGTAATGAGATCTGGTGCCCTATTCTAGTGTGCAAGCATGCATGCAGATAACTGTATACATAATAAATAAATATAAATCTTAAAAAAAAAAGACAAAGGAGAGATACTGTTCCTTGAGAAACCCACACCCATGGTCTGTGGTCTCATTTTCTGCCTGATACCTCTTTCTCTTCAAATTCATTTTAAGAATGTCATTTTGAAAGCCAGGCATGGTGGCACACACCTTTAATCTTTGCACATGGGAGACAGAGGCAGAAGAACCTCTGTGAGTCCGAGAGGCCAGACTGGTATACATATACATAGCAAGTTCCAGGACAGCTGGAACTACATAAAAGACCCTGTTTGTTTTTTTGTTTGTTTGTTTGTTTGTTTTTTAAAGTCACTGGGGGGAGTTGGAGAGATGGATTGGCAGTTAAGAGCATTTGTTGTTCTTGCACAGGACTGAAGTTTGATTCCCAGCAACCATATGGTGGCTCACAACTGTTTATAACTCCAGTTCTAGGGATCTGATGCCTTGTGACCTCCTTAGACAACAGGCACACATGTGTTACACAGGCACACATGTAAGCAAAATATTCACAGACATAATTAAATCTAAACAAAAATTTTAAAAGACCCTCCCTTTTTTTTCTTTTCTTTTTTTAAAGATTTTATTTATTTATTATGTATCCAGCATTCTGCTTCCATGTATATCTGCACACCAGAAGAGGGCACCAGATCTCATAAAGGATGATCTCATAAACCATGTGGTTGCTGGGAATTGAACTCAGGACCTCTGGAAGAGCAGTCAGTGCTCTTAACCTCTGAGCCATCTCTCCAGCCCCCCCCCTTTTTTTCCTTTTCAAGACAGGGTTTCTCTATGTGTAAGCCCTGGCTGGCCTGGAATGCACTCTATAGACCAAGGCTGGCCTTGAACTCAGAGATCTGCCTGTCTCTACCTTCCGAGTGTTGAGATTAAAGGTGTGCGCCGCCGCCACTGGCCCATCTCTGTCTTGATCTGTCAGCTGTGCCGATTGGTGTGTGCAGACACCTCCATCTCATCAGGTATGATTAAGGACTGGCACTCACTTAGTGACAGCACAGTCAGCTCCCATCAAGAAGTCACACACACGTCAGGTGCCTGAGGAGGGCAATAGTCTCCATGGTCCCAACTTTAAATTTCTTTCTTTAAATTTTTTACATTTATATTATAATGGTTTTATTAGCATATGTTAATTATAATAATGGGTCTCATGCCATTTTCATACATATATGTAAGGTATCTTGGTCATATTCACCCCTCTACCCTTTCTGGCTGTGTAGTGAAGGATGACGTTGAACTCCTGATTCTCCACCTCATGTGTGCTAGGATTACACTGTGAACTAACTACTCTACCCAGTTCTTGTGGTGCCGGGAGTTGAACTCAGGGCTTCATGCATGCTAGGCAAGCACTCTACCAAGCATTGTCCCCAGCCCATCCAGGTACCCCCAACACCAATCATTTTACAGACCATTCTTTTATCTTCTCCCCTACTGTATCTATACACATTCGGGGCCTTCTGGACTTTCTGTTCTGTTCTACCTGTGTGTGTGTGTGTGTGTGTGTGTGTGTGTGTGTGCATGTATACAGAGGCCAGAGTGAAGGTCTTTCACTGTGCCATGTTACTTTTTGAGACAGGGTCTCTCACTGAACTTGGAGCTTACAGACCCATCAAGGCTAACTCACCACTGAGCTCCAGCGATCCTCCTGTTTCTATCTCCCCAGTGCTAGAACTACAAAGGAGAGCCAGTGTGCCTGGGAATAAAAAAAAAAAAAAAAAAAAAAAAAAAACCAAAAAA